TATAGTTTGTTAATAATATTCCAAAGCCTGGCTAGGAATAATATAAAAACCACTACAGACTGTGGTTAAAATAATAAAAATAGTATTCCTTTATTTCATTTCCATAGAAGGAATTTATATATCTTTTATAAATTATATATACATTAATTTATAATTTCTGTTGTTAAGGTATTTGATAAGTGAATTTTGCTTCATTTTATGACCTTTCTTGCCACAGTTGTTAAATGAATCACTGCAGTTGATAAGTAGGTAACATGGTTGTTAAGTGAATCTGGCTTTCCTATTGATTTTGTTTGTCAAACGGTTGCAAAAGGTGATCACATAACCTTGGGAACAGCAATGGTCATAAGTATGAGAATTTTGATTACAGGATCATAGGGATACTACAAATGTTGTAAGTGTAAAAAAAAGTCATAAGTCACTTTTTCAAGACCGTTTTAACTTTGAAAGGTCACTAAATGAACTGTTGTAAGTCGAGGACTACCTGTATTTATTTTAGCAAAACTTACTAAAATCATTAAACTTTAGCAAAGTTTATAATTGTCATATGATAACTAATAGTTTGTGATTATTGTGACAAACCATGACCCTGCAGGCTAACAAAGATAGAACACTCCTTTGATGTTTACTGGACTTTTTAATGCCAAATATTTGCTAAAATTTCTACTCTGCAGTGTAAATTTGAAATGATACCTTTGAGTGCTGATTTGTATTTTAGTTATTTTTAGTTAAAAAGTCTAGAAAACTAAAATCATACAAATGGGAAGGAATTACAGAATCCCTGCTAAAGCATTTTGAGCAATGTCTCTCTGAGGATTTTCATTGAAAGGCAACATATAACTTTATGAGGCAATCTACTGTATTTTACTGGATGACAGTTCATACCATCAAGAAACTTCTCTTAATAACCTAATTTGAATCTATTTTCAGTAATTAAATCAGTTGATTCTGATTCCTGCCTTCTGGAATAAGAAAGAACAAAATCTCTTCTTTCTCTATTTGTTAATTTCTGTGGTGTTATTTCAATTGTTTTCTATTAAGACTTCTTTCTCTGTTCTTTATGGTCATGTCTCCCAGTCTTGTACATCATTTTGGTAGCCTTCCTCTAAACATATTCCAGTTTAAAAAGGACATTGAAAAACTGTCTGGTATTGACACAATATTCCAGGTTGAGTTTGACCAAGCTAAAATATAATGGGATAATTACTTTTTGTGATGAGTACTCAAACTCATGTTAATAGATCTCAAAAGAGCAGCTGTATCACACTCTTGGCTCTTGTACAACTTGCGATTTACAAGAACATCCAGATCCTTTTTATATTTACAGTTGTCAAACCAGGTCTGTCCCATGTTTTTATCTTTCTTTGTAATTTCTTCCTGTACTGTTTGGCCATTGTTCAAGCCTATTTAGATTTTTTTGAATCTTTTCTTCTGGTTCTAAAGCATTAGCCATTCCTTATAAGTTTTTATAATCTGTAAATTTTATAACTATCCCCTCAGCTCCTTCACCCAAGTCATGAATTAAACTGTTAAAACTGTAGGACCCAAGGTATTACTTGGTGGTATCTCACTGCTTTCCAATCTGATGTGGAGCCATTTTTAATGACAGAAGTGTCTATGTCTAAACCCATATGTTACATGTCATACCTGGTAACACAAATTTTTTTAGAAGCCATTACTTCTATTTCCTATTTTGTTTATCTTTAATTACCTCTCTTGCATCACTGTGGAACAGTTATTTTGAAGCTGGTGTTTGTTTCGCTATTGTAAACCCTTAAAACTAATTCCATCTAGTAGTAGCTTAATTATAGTGTGAAATTATGGTTATCAGTATTCATAAAAGAACCATCCTAAAGAACGCTTCAACGGTTATATCCACACCAAGATGAATGCAATCTGCTTGTTCTCAATTTTAATTCCTAAATCGGATCCACGGTTGCAATTTATGTTTCAACAAGAACTATACTGCCAAGGATTAGACTCACAGCAGGGAGCTTTGTATCATAAAGATAAAGAGAGTAATTATTGTTAAAAACTGTACAAATAAAGGCAGTCAATAAATATGCATGTTGTGTAACAAGTACATAGGTTAAATTGTCTTTAATGATTCTCTGAGAGCACCTTTGTAATTGATCATAATGCGTATAATAACATTGGCTTGTTTGTTACACAAAAGCAGTTCCTTCCTCCATCAATGTCTTCTCCATGTATGTGAAGGCTAAACAAGGGTGGCTTTTCAGTTGCTTCTTTTTTTAGTGATGTGCAGAGAAATACAGAAATGCATAGCAGAAAGCAGTATTCATATTAATGCTTTCTAACAGTAACCTAACTTCTGTAGAGGGCAAATGGTCTTGGTTTTAGTGCTTAATTATCTACATTAGTATACAAAGAGGTAAGTGATGTAGCTTTCTAACGTACAGTGTACGTAGAAAATTTAAAAATATGTTTTCTGAATATAAAAGGAAGCACTATAAAACTCAGTGTGTTGAGCAGGGCTAAAACTGTTGAAAGTAGTGCTTCCAAATTAAAGAAGACACTACAGTCTGCAGCATCCTTACAGAGTATAGCAGTAGACTAAATGCAAATAGGACAAACCTGTTTAGAATTGAATTTCGGAGTAATTGAAAAAGATCTAAATGTTAACATTTTTTCATAAACAAAGATGAATGCCATTTTTTAGAATATTTACCCTGTCTTTCATTCATGCAGCATCATGCAGCTAATAATAAATTGTAAGCAAACAGCCCAACTAGATCAGACAGTGAATTTTTGCTCAGTTATAACATACAAAATACTGTGCTTAAATATGTGATCTGAAGACAGATGGAGTAATCTGGTATTTAGAGGAAAATAATTTAGAAATCTCTGTACTAAAGAGATTTAGTACAGTATTGTTTAGCTAACAGCAACTATGTTCTTGCAATTATTAAGTATATTCAAAAGACAAATAGTAACCTTCTGACCACTTCAAAAATATTTAGAACAAGTCCTTTGGGTTTGTCAATTAACCATGTTGAGCCATGGTGGCACAGTGGTTCGAATGCAGTACTGCAGGCTACTGCTGCCGCTAGCCAGCAGTTTGGCAGTTTGAATCTCACCAGGCTCAAAGCTGACTCATCCTTCCATCTTTCTGAGGTGGGTAAAATAAGATTGTTTGGGGCAATAGGCTGACTCTGTAAACTGCTTAAAGAGGGCTGTAAAGCACTGTGAAGCGGTATAGAAATCTAAGTGCTATTGCTATTATTATGTTACAATATAATCATTTTCAAGCTAACAAAAGATGTTGATCTCATTTTCAAAAATGCTATTAAGAAACTGTCTATTTGTATTTCATAAGAAAGAAAATTTCGTAGGATTGGCAGACTTCCCCTTTGTTTTGTTATCCCACAGAGAGAGGGAATTACCAGGTCTGATGATCCCGTCGTGTCTAGCTCTTGACAATTCTATGGGCCAGGTCTCTCTACATCTTTCAACCTTGCACTAATTATTTGAGTTGCTCTATGCTCTGGCTGGTGTCAGCTTGGATAGTGCCCAACCATCATGTTCTATATTTATATGTAATGTATGACATGTGAATATAACTTTTTCAATTAAATTGTGGAAACTATATGCCAAGAAATGCATTGTTTTTCTCTTGTCTACTTTTTTTTGCTAGAAATAAAGCATGGATATGCAAAATCACAGCAACCCCCTTCTCCCAAATTCATGCAATCATGACACAAGAGCTATTAATCTTCTGCTTGGGGATATAGACTAGTAACAATAACTCTGGTCAGGAAATACAGTATATCAGCAGTTTAGTGGTAGATTCTGCACAATTAGGTTTCTGCTGATGGTTTTATGACTTTTTCTTAAGCATGTTGCCCAAACTATCCTGAGTACAAGGAAGATAGTTTAGATGGGTCATTAGTTATTTAACGGATTGTAAATTTTACAATTCGTTATCATGTTTTATAGAATTTTGTTTTAGAAGCTATGTGATGAAAAGATAGAGAAATGTACCAAAATGTTATCATTTGTAATGCTAATAAAAAAAATTGCAATCAGATTAATTTCTTTTAAAATGTTGTTCCCATTTTCAGATAATCTTACATGTTGTTTGTACTGCAAAATACTTAATAAAAATGAGGATTATGTATATGTATTGTGTATAAATTAATCTTACTACAGATAACCATATACAAAAACAAAGTTTCATTTCATGACTTTTTTTCCAATGGTTTGTCCATCAGCTCCAAAAGAAAAACCTCTGATCTCAATTATATATTTATCTTTAAAATCTACTGCATCAGTGTATTACTCTGAATCCAAAATTTTTTTATATAACCATCAAACAAAATAAAATGTCCTTCTTGTTCTTCACATATCCAACAGAAATTTGAATTCCCTTTATACATTCTAGAGTTTGTCTAGTGATATATATCCATGATACATTTTTAAATAAAAATTCTCTTTTATGATCATAAAAAAGTCTAAATTTTAGTCCTTTCAACCACACGTTTTCCCTTTGTCCCATCTGTACATTAAGACCAAAAAGGTTTAGCCTACTTTATCATACATTATTTCTGTTTTAAATTTCTATAATTACATGTTCATTGTTTATATGTAATACTATTTCAGAATCTGTCTCACAGTGTTCAGAGCCAAGAACCCTGTCTACTTTAAATCATTTTAATAATTGTAAATAAGAGAATCATTGATAACTATATCCCCATTTAACTCATAGTATTTCCCCACCATACAAATTTAAAAATGTTCTCCTGCCACTGTTTAAAATGGTACATACACATTTATGTCCCCAACCAACATATAGCTAGCAGTACCATGAGCTTTCCATATACTTTTGTCCATAAGTAAACAATGGAAAAGACATCATACATCCTCATATAATTATTCTACTCATTGTTGAACCATTTGCTAAGCATTCCATTTATTTTCAACATGCTTTAATTTCATCATACAAAGCTCTTATCACACTCAACAACAATCCTTCAGGTAGCATGTGTATTGTGAGTTATTGTCAAATTTATTTAGCAATTTTGTAATATTGAAAGGATGAAAGGATAGTCTGTTCATTAAAGAAGACAGAAGCCCCTGCTTATTGGAGTCAGTGTGTAATTATAATAAATCATGTCAGATGCCAACAAAAGAATGCATGAAGGAATAAGTCATGAATAATTTAGAGCTAGCTATCAATAAGCAAAGTTAAGAATGATTGTTAGTATCAATTTCCTGTTTTACAGTTAGAAAGGTGTAGCATAGCAAAGATTACTATAGCAAATTTAGCCAAGTATTATAATTTGTTGAACATTAATTACTAATTGTCTCTGTACTAGTTCATAATTTCCAGTTGTGAATTTGAGGAGATGATCACATGATAAATAATTGTTTTAATATTATGGGAAAATAATGGACAATCCAATTTAACTGACTCATTTTCTTTCTTTTCAGAAACCATATTCTTCATTTCCCTCCCTAAAGCAGAACTGGGAAGAATATCGGCTTCAGTGTTTAAAGTATCTCCGAGAAACACCCCCTCTTGTGGCAGGTAGGGCTTCTTAAAACAAATGGCAACCACAAACATCATATTTGGGGAGCTACAGAATATTATCTAAAAATGTTGCCAAGAAATCCAAAAGCAGAGTCTTAATAAGGTTCAAACATCTAATAAGGTTCAAACTTCACACAAAGATTGATTTGTGTGCTTTCTCACAACTGCCACTGAACATCTTGAAAAGCATATTTTGCTGCATCACAAAATATTGGTGGGGGGTTAGCTATAAAAGGTATTTTATCTATAAAAGGCATTAGAAACAACAGCCTGCTTTGATTTTTAGAAAAGCCTTTATCACTATAACATTGGGTTGTATGTCTGAATCTAATCAATTGATAAAGATAAATTTTTAGATCTGATTCTGAACCATTTTTTTCATTGCTGCCTCTCAGAATTGCACTGCCAGTAACAGCCATGGAGAATTACTCCTACTTGTAATAATAATAGCCAGGAAAATAATTTTCCTTCATCTTTGTGGACAACTAATACTGTTACTATCATGGTTTAATAAATCCTGTTGTAGTTTTAACATGTTGAATAATGCTGCATGTTAGTTTTTTTGAGTGGGAATTTCTGCAGTGTATATCATTTATAATTTAAAACAACAGGACAAAATCTCTGTCTAGGACAAACACATGAAGTTCTCTGAATAATTTGATAGACCAGTAAGACAATGCCAGGTATTACATGTTGTAAGCAAGACAAAGTGGAAGATACCTAGGTGGTCTCAACGAAAGCAATTGCTTTCTTGACCATAGCCATAGTCTTATATATTTAAGTCATTATCATGTGGTTTCTGTTCATCAGCTAAAACCAGAAGAATTTGTGATTTACTGAATCTCTTGGAAATTTTGTCTATATACAGTATGCACACATGTATACTGGCCACTTTCCAGTCCTGGAATATAAAGTAGAGACTTTTATTAGTGCAATATTCTTTATTAAATGATCAACAGTGTCTAATTTTAATTAAGATACTTAAATCTAATAGTGTAATTTTCACTTTGTCAGTAAAAATAGTTAACCCAGGACCAATATTTGGTTCAGTTCTTAAGATTCAAACTTATAAATATGTACTACTGTACATGGCTAGAAGTTTTGAAGTTTTTGTCAGCTGCGCTGTAAAGAATATTGCAACAATTTGTGTAGTGTATTCTTCCTTTTTATTGTTAAGTAATTTATGGTTGATAGTAGGTCTATAAATGTTGTGAGAACAAAATCTCTCACAAAGGTTTAGCTTAACAGTGGGAAAAATGTGTGCCATTGCCATGACCTGCAATTCTAGCCTGGCTTTTTAAAAATCTTATTGAGGATTTGTGCTGTTGAATTTTGAAGTTTATTTGTAAGGTTAAATCTTAAATGGTTCCTTTTAAAAATTCAATTTGCTGCTTTGAAATGGTATTTAATGATAAAAAACAGGGTGGAAACAATCTTTTTAAAAATCAAATAATTAAACGAATACATGTAATATAATGTTTTTGGGGGGAGGGTTTTCTCTGCTGACTTCTTCTAAATTATTCTCTGTTCATAGAAGGCAAGTTTTGCAACAGGACTTTTGATAACTATGTCTGCTGGCCCGATGGTATTCCTGGCACCTATGTGAATATGAGCTGCCCTTGGTATTTACCATCAGGTAGCTCGGGTAAGTTACTTGCATACCAATCCTGGAAAAAGATCAAAATGTTCTTTCTTCTCACTAAGATGCTAAACTTGTCAAAAGCTTACTTCCCATCAAGACAGTTTTCTACAGCCTATTGCTCTTCAACTACGGTACAGGTAGGCATTGATTTATGATGACAATTGGGAACAGAACCTCTGATAAAGGATGCGGTTTTTAAGTGAGTCATCATGTGGCCTTTTTTTGTTTCCATTGACTTGACTATTGTAAACCTGCTATGAAGTTACAAATGGTGATTATGGCATCCTGTGATATTGCAATCATTGTAAATTCAAGGCAGTTGTCAACTGCTTAGATCACAAACATGTAACAATAGGGACTCTGCAACAGTCATAGGTTATAAATTATTTTTTTTCAGACCTATCATAAGTCTGAATAGTCACTAAATGAATAGTCTTAAGTAGGTAGATTAATAGCTTCCTGAATTATCAGGTATGCTTGGCCAGGGATATTATTAGCTATCATCCTCAGACATCTAGTGAATTATCATTTTATCAGATTTTGCAGAAGGAGGAAAGTGTTATGATGCAATGGTCTAGACTTTAGCTGACCTATGTACTAAAAGATAGGATTAGATGTCTTGTAGCATTGTAAAAGTTTCTGATCTACAATGCCCAGCAGTTTTAGCCAGTATGATCAGTGGTGAGGAATACCAAAATTAGTGGCTCAGCAGATTCTTGAAACCCAGAAATTGATAGTACCTGCTTTGAAATATTATTGTTTCATACAAATATTATTCCTAACAAATAATATGTGGAAAGATAGGCCCTATATTGGAACAGCTGTTAATGAAAATTGGCCTCAGATTGTTGCAAATTACTTGGCAGCTTTTAGGAATTTTAAGCAGAATGGGTTAATTTTATTCATTCTCTTTCAGAATGAAAGAATAGCCTTGTAAGAATAGCCTTGTAAGAATATTTAGATGTAACCTTTTATTTTAAAAATATGTCTCTAGAATGTAAGTAAGGGAAATCTCTTAACACCCTGCATGAAGAATTAGAGGTCTTCCTTCCTTCAAGTAGTCTATTTATTTACTATCCTTAGGATTCATGGCAGCAGTTTTGGCGGCTCACTACCAACAGCCTTCACTATGGGGAAAAAAACAAAGATTTACCATACTCCTGCACCATAAATAAATTATCACAATTGGCTGTATTTTTGAAAATAAGCATTATCTGGGGATAGCATTAGTGTTTTGATTTCTAGTGAGTTGATCATTAAAAGATTGCAAGCCCCTTTAGTAAGTAAATTAAGGCTTACAAGCTGCCTTTTCCCAACTGCTCTTGAATTTCCTATTTTTTCTATGGCCAAAATGGGATGTTCGTTTTAATTATGTTTGAGCTTACATTACCTAACTTCACCTAGATTTGTGTCCTTTTCTTCCCTTCTGTCCCCATTTGCATCATAATATGTCTTAACCTGCATTTTCTTGATTCTATATAAATCTTTCAATCTCAGACCTACATAGTTTAGTTTTCTTCCATTTTCTCATCATATCATAATACTGGGAGACAAGCAATAGTGAGAACTCTGTAGCCAAATAATATAGTGGATCAAATTATTTGTTCAAGGTGACAATAAAATACAAATGTGTGCAGTGTCAGTTGTTCTCCTGTTGGAAACATTTTTTGGAATGACTTGCACAGACCTGTAACTTAGCAAAACCAGCAAGCGAGTAGCTTTTGTCTTTTTTAAAGGCATGTATTTACTGCCTGGAGGCAAGAAATAGTTTTGTATTGTTTCAATCTTAATAACATAACTTTCCTTCTCAGTTCAGAATTACAAATGAAACAATGCTAAAATCTCTTAATTAATTAATTAATTTAATTTAATTTAACAAATAAATGCTCTGTCTTACATATTGGCAGAAAAAAATCAGAAAATAAAATACAAGCTAAGTAGTCAAGACCTTGTTGAGGATCCAAACTTTGTCAAGGATCTTGGAGTACTCATCTCTAATGATCTAAGTGCTAGAGCCCACTGTAACTACATAGTGAAAAAGGCATTGTTGTTAATCTAATCCTACATAGCTTCTTCTCTGGTAATATCACACTACTAACTAGAGCATACAAAACATTTGATAGGCCTATACTTGAATACAGCTCATCAGTCTGGAACCCATATCATGTATCTGATATTAACACAACTGAAAAAGTCCAGAAATATTTCACAAGAAGAGTTCTCCGCTCCTCTGCTCATTGTAGAATACCTTATGCCACCAGACTTGAAACTCTAGACCTAGAAAACCTAGAACTACGTTGCCTCTGGTCCGATCTAAATATGGTATATAGAATCATACTTTGCAATGTCCTACCTGCAAATGAATACTTCAGCTTCAATCATAACAATACAAGAGCACACAATAGATACAAACTCAAGGTTAACGGCACCAAACTTGACTGTAGAAAATATAATTTCAGCAACAGAGTGGTCAATGTTTGGAATACTCTACCTGACTCTGTGGTTTCTTCCCCAAGCCCCAAAAACTTTAATCTTAGACTGTCTACTATTGACCTCACCCCCTTCCTAAGAGGCCTGTAGGGGGCGTGCATAAGCACACCAATCGTGCCTACCGTCCCTGTCCTATCGTTTTTTATTTTTCTTATAAGTATCTATCTCATGTATTCAAAACTATATTTATTCTTATACCTGTATCTTGTAAGCGATTGACAAATCAAATAAATCCTAAATACTATTCTAACTAGTAATATTTTCTGATCTTGGTAGTTTCTCCAAAACATATTTTGCTTCCATGAAAGTAATTATAGCTGCAGTAATGGGGAGAAGGGATGCTTTGTGTTGGAGCCCTCAAATTGGATTAATACAAAATTTCAGCATTTTCTGTTGTTAATTGTCTATTTTGACTATGAAAAACACAAGGGCTTGGGTACTATTTTGTCCTTCACCTAGGTTCACATGCCCAGATTTTTCCTTCTATGCATTTATACTTCACAGTTGGACCCAAGGCAAATCACAGTGATGCCAAAATGACAACATGCATTTGGTTATACCATCACTCAACATTTATAAGAGATCCAAATCACATAAAATTAGATATAAAATGAAGATAATGATAGGTCCCATTATATATAATAGGAGACTGCTAATAGTCCATCTCATTTTAAAAACTGTAAGAGTTTTTAAAACTTGGAAAAGAGCTGTGTGAAAAAAACAGCTTATGTAATTTCATTTTTGTTCATTTTTATAATTTAAATTGAGCTGCCAGTAACTCTGTGTAAACTAAAAAAGAAAGTTTGTACCTACAAAGATAATCCATTTTACCTTTTGTATCTTCTTCAAGGTCCCTTATGTTAATGGTTACGTCTAATGGCACTAAATCCTGTAAAACTGAAATCTTCCAAAGATGCAAGTTCCCCACATGACTTATAGGAACTATAACCATACTTACTGTTTATGGCTTTTCAGAATAGACGAAACCTGGTATAGTATAACATGCCCATTCAGTCTTTTGATGCGTCCATATAGTTCAAGCAGGATCTTTAAGACAAGGACCAGCAATGCATTGCTTCAAACTATACTTACAGTATGTTAAGAAAATGCACTGAGGGGCTGAACTGTCCTAAGAAATGTTGTGTGAATTGTATACTTTGATAAAGTTTGGGCAACACGTACTTTTCATGTATGTATTTATAATCAAACACACAATTTATATTTTACTCTGGATTATGGGTAAAAGAACTCAGCACCACTCATAGGTATTGTGAGAAGGGTGGTTATCAAGTTGGATGGATGGATAAATAAATAAATAATTCATTAATCTATGCACATTACATATTCAGATCAGGAGGCTTTGTTCTTCCAAGTCCAACTGCTTATAAGAAAACAAATTGAAATGAAGGGAATCTTTAGATATATCTAGTAAACATTTGCTGTATGCTTATAGGAGGAATATCAGTTGAAACACAAGTAGAGGGTCATGCCAATTAAAGAGTAAGGCTTATTGGAATTCTAATTTCACAGTAAAAGAAGCAACCATTTTGGGAACTCTTTTCACATCCACTTGTCAACACTCCTGTGCTGTACTGTGTACTGGATAAAGGACTCTTTCAGACTATCTAATCCCAAGGGATGTAGAATTTTTCAGGTCAGAAGCAGTCACATCAGCATAGCTTAGATGGCCAGTGAAGCTGTAAAGTCAATGATTTGGTTAAAGCATTCTTAGACAGCTGATATTTCTTTTTTTATATATATTTTTTTTTATTTTTTAATAACAAGCATAAGCATACATAACAAAATAAACATAAACATAACACAAAAAACATAAAAATATCCTTCTTCATAAATTTACATACAGTGCATCGATTGGTTTGCCACTTTTTTTTGTGCATCCATTTCCTAGTCACTAGTATAGTTATATTACATAATAGCTCATATTATCAATCAATAATTGTATAACTTAATATCATCACTAAAAAAAATCATTTATAATTTTGTTAATTCATATTTTAACGAGATAACTATAGTTTGCTTAATTTATTTTGCAATAAATCATAAGATCATACCAAATCTACCTTGATAATGTTTTATAAAGATAATATCAAGAAAAAAAATTTTTTTTATGCTAAATCTGAATATTTTATCATTATGTTTTATTATCTAACCATTGATAAAAAAGATCCCAAACTTCATAAAATTGTTTATCTTCTTGTTCTCTGATTTCAAATGTCAATTTACTCATTTCAGCACAATCCAATATTTTCTTAATAATTTCTTCTTCTGATGGAGTTTTCTCACTCTTCCAGTTCTTAGCAAATACAATCCTAGCCGCTGTTAATATATTTACAATCAAATACTTCAAATTTTTATTATATATATCAGGTAAGATTCCCAATAAAAAAATCTCTGGTTTCAAGTCTATATGTGTCTTTGTCATTTTTTCCAACCATATGCGAATTTTAGTCCAATATTTTCTAGCGTCCTCACAAGTCCACCGCATATGGTAGTATGAGCCAGGTATCTGATGACATTTCCAACATTTTTCAGATTTGTTCTTAAACATTCTTGCAATTCTTGTCGGGGGAAAATGCCACCTGTAAAACATCTTATACAAGTTTTCTTTATAAGCTGTTGCCATTGTCATTTTATAATTTTGAGACCACAATTTTTCCCATTTCTCCAAATCAATCCCATATCCAAAATTCTTCCCCCAAACAATCATCGTTTCTTTAACTTGTTCCTCCTCTAATAAAATTCCCAACAAATAAGTGTATAATTTTTTAATCATTTTTTTATCAGTACCTGTCAAGATCCTGTCTAAATCAGTCAATTTATCATAAAATCCCTCCGCTTTAGACAGCTGATATTTCTGAATACTTTTTAAAGCCAACTCCAGTAAATTTGTTACTGCAGTCATCCTGGGATATTATAAAGGCATCATTGCTTCATAACTTCTAGATAAAAAATAAAAATATATGTTGTTCACTATTAATTCACTGAGACAAGAAATTAATACATATTTGCATGCTGCATAATATAGACTCATTCACATGGACACAAGACATAGTTATAATTAGCAGCTACTTGTAACATAAGTGGATCATGGCTACAAGTATAGCCATTTCTAAATTTTGTAAATTAACAGATTAACAGATAATCAGAGCTAAAAGGGACCTTGTAGATCATCTAGTCTAGGGGTTGCCAACCTTTTGGACTCCAGGGACCACCAAACTCATAATTTTAAATCCTGCGGACTACTAATATGAATCCAGCGTGCTGCTCGCTGAAGCGCTTGGACTCCCAATGAAGGATGTGGTCCTTCAGGCACTTAGCTTGGCTGCCTGTTGCTACAACCTTAAATACTCAGAGTTATTTGGACCCGTTTCCCACAGAAAACAAAACACCAGGACCTCTCATCTCTCTTTCTCTCTCTGTCTCATCTCTCCCACTCTTTCCCTCTCCCTCTCCCTTTCTCCCTTTCTCCCTCTTTCTCTCTCCCTCTCTCTCTTTTCCCTCCCTCTCTTTCTGTCTCAGGGTTGCTGGGAAAGGAACCTTTGAACTGGTGTTGCCTCCTCTCTCCCCTTCTGGCAGCTGCCAAGCCTCCTCTTTCCCGCTGGGTGTATGAGCACTTCTGGCAAGGAGGAAGCATGGTGGGAGGAGTCTTGGTGGCTGCCAGAGTGCTTTGCGGCTCCTAAGGGGAGGGTTCGAGCCTCTCCCTCCAACATCTTCACTTGAGGACATACCTGGCAGCCGCTTGGCCTCCTTGATGCCTGGAGGCAGGACACAACACCACTTCAGAGGTCCTTTTCCCCCCACCCCCTCACAAGCCAGGGAACACTCGGGAAGGGCTCCGATGCCACGATCTGTGCCTCTCCCCTCAGGAGCTGCAAAGTGCCTGCCACCCCTCTGGCAGCTTCCAAGCCTCCTCCCATCATGCTTTCTCCTTGCCAGAAGTACTCATACACCCAATGGGAAGGAGGAGGCTTGGCGGCTGCCAGAGGGGGAGATAGGAGGCAACACCAGTTCAGAGGTTCCTTTCCCCCCCACCCCTTCCCCTCGCAGGCCAGGGACCACCCAGGAAGAGTTCTGATGCCGCAATCTCCTGCCCGCTACCCTCCCTCCCCACACGCATTCTGTCCATCTGCCACCAGTATCACTTGTGTTGCAGACATGGGTGTGCTGCCACCCACCAAAATTTTCTCACAGACCACCAGTGGTTGGCAACCGCTGATCTAATCCAAACCCCTGCCCAAGCAGGAGACCCTACACCATTTCTGACAAATGACATAATTGGCATAATTTTGATAAATAATTTTGATCGTATCAGAACAGTGGCATGAAATTATTTTGTGGAAAAGTGTTAACTAAAGATCCACAGGAGAGATAAAAATGTTACAAAATGATTTTCTGAAATCTGGTTGGATCAATGTATCCTTTTATATATAAACTGGTGAATTTTGCTTGTATTTATAGAAAAATGGCATAGCTTATAGATAATCAAATGTTTCATATTTAAAAAAATATATGCTGGCAAGAACACATTTGTGTTTATCTCCATTAAAAACAGGCATAAAATAGGTGCAAAATCTTGTTCTATGGTTTCCTTCCTTCCTTCCTTCCTTCCTTCCTTCCTTCCTTCCTTCCTTCCTTCCTTCCTTCCTCTTCCTTAGAATGAAAGTCTGTCTACTAACTGAAAAGAGTTTTCCTGTTATATCCAAGTTCTGTGAGGGAAAGTTTATTTTCACAGACAGGTTTCAACTAAATCCCTTCAGTTATGAATGTTAAGTTGATTTTTCCTCTCTCATTACTTCTAAACTCTGACTCCTGTTTCTTCATGCTCTTGGCTGAATTCTGTAATTCTAAGAAAGAAAGTTTGTAAATAGTTTAGTATTTAGACTTTGTTGAAAGCAGCAATAATATAATTGCTTCCTAAGTTTTGGCTATACATATTGCAGGATGTGATGCGCCCTGAATGACTTTCTACTATTGACCTCACCCCTTTCCTAAGAAGTCTGTAAGGGGCATGCATAAGCGCTGCAACATGCCTACCATCCCTTCTTTTATTTTTCTTATATGTATCCATGTATTCATAACTATGTTTTTACTTATACCTATTATCTTGTAAGCAATTGACAAACCAAACAAAATAAAATAAAATAAATAACTGGAAATGTGTAAGAATGTATTGTCCTAATTATCTCCAGTTGAAAATGGTGGGTTTATGTTTCTTACCTATTGGTATCATATAATCCAGAAAATTAATATGTTGCAAGTTAATTGAAAAATTGATATACAGATAGATTTGGTTGATGATTCTACTGGAATTACTGAACTGTTTTCTTTTTAAGCTATAATTCATACAAATACTGTATATTATTTGAAAGCTGTAGAAAATAGGGACTTTGTTTCAAATTATCATGTTGTCTTACTGTAAAAATAATGCAGATACTACATCAAAATCGATAATCTGAAGGTAGATCACATCATAGAGAAACATGAGGTGTGGAGAATATTGTGGCCACAACATTTCTAAAATCCCACATCTTTCTATCCCTTTCCAAAAGAATTTCTTATATATGCTGACTAGGAATTCTAAGAATTTGAACCCCAATTACCTGTTAGCTTCTTTCATGTACCATTATTTTAAATGGGCATCACAATGTTTCAGTTTCTTTTAAATATTATTTTTAAACTTTGCATTGACTGCAACCATTTTGCCATCGCTATATTTACAAAGAAAACAGTGAGAGAATAAAAGGAAGCATTACATTAGATACACTCTAACTTCAATAGAAAAAGTAATCCTGGAAATTTTATAAGCAGAGTTTGCCCAGCCTACAGCCAGCCCTTCCCAATGAAAGCCAATGTATTGCCTAAAGAAAATCTCCATTATGATACCTGTTTTTGTCATCAAGAGGCAAAATTCTGTCAAATCAATCTACCACAGCAAGGAATTCAGCCCTTACTTTTAAGCTTCAGATTCACAACTTCCTTCTGGAAGAAAATGGCTTCCTCTTCAGGACATTTCCCTTGTTGACAATTAAAAAGAGTTATTAAATTTGGGATAGCTTATAGTGTTCAAAATGCACACACAATGCATGGAGAGAAAACTCTACTTCCTCTCTCTCAGTTTGTCTTTCCCTGTCTGGATAAATTGTGATAGTCTATGAGCTGCTGTAATTTGTTTCAAAGATAAATTATGTGGCAGTTTATTCTGAAAGACAATTGGGTAACTAATCTCCCACTATTCCTGTTCTGCAGCTGCATAAAAATACCAATCAGATTGGCTATTTTAATAGGGAAAGCATTTAAAAGAGCTAGCTGATAAAATATTTGTGAGCCTCCTGACATGTGATAACATATTTTCCTATATTCAAAAGCCTTTAGCCAGCTGTAACATTTGATTTGATTTATAAGTTTATTGCAGAACAAGATAAATGATGACATTAATTCCAGATCTAACTGTTGTCCTCCCTTCTTGCTCTTTTATGTACATATAGGGACTGCTTGAATTCTAGGCACCACTCCATATCTTTAAACATTTAATATCAGTAAGATATAAATGACGTGGAATTCCAGCAGACAGGGTCAAAGAGAGCTACTTCTAAGAAACTAACTTTATTTGAAAGCATATTCCATCAAAAGATAAATAAATCAAAGCCCTAGCCTAATTGTGTAGTTTTACAGCATAATTTCTGGAATATTGCTCCCTTTTGAATAAGATTTAAATGCTTATCGATTTCTCTGGTTCCAGATGATACACAAGATCCCCAAGAAGAAATAAGAGCTTAGCAATTGGACATTAACTTAAAGTTGTTTATAGGTCATCAGCACAAGTATATTCATAAAGCTACACTAACCCCCTGATAATTGGATTTAAGGCCAGAATTACATGGTAGATCTTTTATTCTTCTATGGCACAGTACTGCCTCCTAAAGCAGTTGAACCCATGCTGAGAAAATAGATGGAATTCATCTTTTGTTATTCAGAAAAGCCTCTCCCATGTAAAAGGAATCTGCTAGGGAGATTTTAAATTATCCCTTATTATGGTTTACAATACAGAATTACATAATTATAAACTTTCAGACTACAATGCTACGTCCTTGGAATGAAGATAGATAGATAGATAGATAGATAGATAGATAGATAGATAGATAGATAGATAGATAGATAGATAGATAATTTCCATTGCAGAGTTGAAACTGTTGTAGAGTTCTTGGTGCTCATGGAGCTTTGGTTTTTTGCTTGCAGACATTTCTTAACCCAACTAGGTAACCACATCAGCAGCAAACTTGCACTAATTGGATAATTAATTAATAATTAAAATAATTAATTAAAACCAGTCTCCAGGTTGACTCAGCCTTCCATCCTTCCGAGGTGGTTAAATGAGGACCCAAATTGTTGGGGGCAATATGCTGACTCTGTAAACTGCTTAGAGTGGGCTGTAAAGCACTATAAAGCAGTATATAAGTCTAAGTGCTAATTCTATTGCTATAATAAAACATATGAAGTAAACAAGCAAACAAGCTCAAAGAGGAGCAGGAACTCCACAGTTAAGACTGAGCTACTACTCTTTTATTGAAATTTTAAGGTGGGGAATATGGGGGTTCGTTGCTACCAACCTCTTCATAAAAGGTGTGGGATTTGTGTGTGTGTGTGTGAAAACATCCAACACTTTGGTAGTAGAGTAAGAGAAAAATTGAATCTCAAGCTGCCTCAATTTGTTTTTCCCCATGTTCCTAATTCAGGAGATTTGGACCCAAATAGAAAGGCTGGATAAGTCCAAATACATGATACCATGAACAATATTGTCATCGGCTACCAAAAGTAGCTGCTGCCTTATTTCTATCCTCTTGTTACTAGAACACTGAATATCAAAGTGTGGTGGAATCTCCAGTTAGACTGGAGATGTTAAGAGGAGCCCAGGTTTGAAGTCACTCCAGTGCAGAAAACAGCACAGGTCTTATCATCCCAGAATCCTTGAAGCCTTAACTTGCAATTCCCAAAGTCATGCAGTCAGTCTGGTGAGATTCTTGTAACATTGTTGACTAGCTTTTCTTAACACAAAGTCAAGTTTTATAATGAATTAAAATGCCCTGCTAATATATATAAAACTTTATTCTAGAAGACAGAATTTCCTGGTTGAAAAACCTATTATGAGCAAGTAGGAGGGAATTTGTTCTCCAGATAGGACTGAACTGTCCAACAATGGATAGATATAACTACAATTTCCTATTATAGTTATACCGATCCTTCAGAGAAGAAGATTAAACTTTTACATGGGTGAGAGAAAATACAGAGGTGAAGGCTGAACTTTTAAAAGGGTGAAAGAAAAATGATTTTATGAAGTCTATGAAAAATAGAAAAGGAAAATATGTTTTATGCCATATGAAATTTAGGGAATTATTCAGTATTCTTGATTTGGAGATGATATATGTTATATCCCTTTGGATACAAAGTCTGATTATTTGTTTGTTTTTAAAGAGATTTACAAAAAGCAACATTTTAGTAAAAACCTACATTGGTGGTAAATGTAACATGCAACAAAAATAGTAAGCCAAAACAATGTTAAAACCATGTTATTTCAGTAAACCATTTTTTCTGTTTTTCAAAAAGGTTAATAAAAACAGCTATTAGCCCCAATCTCTTAAATAAATCTCTTAAATAAAACTCTTAAATAAAAGCAGCCTGAAATAAAAACAGATTAAAGAAGATTGCCTTGAGAATAATCTGAAGTTTGCTAATATTAGGTAAATGCTACCAGGCAGATCAATCATGTTTTTCATAGGAATTCTGAATATTGGAATATGTAGAGTAAAAATAATGGGATATGCCCATGTGGTGTTTTAAAGACTTTTTTTTATCCTGCCTTTATTATTATTTTTGTTATATATAAATAACCATCAGCAGAAAATCTACTTTCCACTCTTCCTGCCCCTATTTCCTCCACAACAACAACCCTATGAGGTGAGCTGGGCTGAGAAAAAGTAACTGCTTTAAATTACCCACCCAGCTTTCAGGTCTGAGGTGGGAACTGAACTCACAGTCTCCTGTTGTCTAGCCTGTTGCTTTATCCACTAGACCAAACTCAGGGATGGGTCCAAATACTGCGGCATTTCTTCTTTTTAGAAATTAAACATTACAACTTTGTAATTAAACGTAAGTTGATTTCCTTATTTAATAACACTGCAGCAAAATTTGATGACATATACTTAGCTGAATGTAAATGCTGTATTGACAGCACAGAAAATTCTAAGCTGCAAATTATTTGATTGTTTCTTACATGCCAATCAAATACTATTTTTTTAATCTGGTGGTAGAGGAATTGTTTCCACTACAAATGGCCTGATTCTGGGAATAGATTGATTTTATATAGAGTTAAACCTCTAGTGTACTGAAAAACTTTGTTTGACAAGATTGGTACAAAGATTTGAAGCCCACAAACTCATTTCCAACTTTCGGGTTCTAATTTGTCTTGGGACTCCCAAAACATGTAATAAATAATTTACAGTCTAGTCAGGGCTATATTAATATTGTGGGCAACTTCTGGATAAGATTTTAACTATATATGCAGTTGATTTGATTGCATTTGGCTTTTCTATCACCTGCCTTTTCAGGGCAAGTTTACCGTTTCTGCACACTGGAAGGGACATGGCTGATGGAGGAGAATTCCACCAATCCATGGAGGAACATTTCTGCATGTATGGCTTCTGATGAAGTAAGCAAACAATATTTGTTTGAAGAATTTATTGCCCAAATGCTACATTCTTTGTGCTGTGGAAGTGTCTTAAAATAAAGTTTTCTATTAACAATAACAGCATGGAATCTTCCATTAGTTCTTATAGAATGATTTGGATTGTTGCACAGTTTTAGTGGGATTGAAAACAGGGAAATGTGACATAATATTCTTGATTGTTATGTCCTTCGGGCTTGTAATACTGATAATTGCAATGAAAGTGAAGTTAGAACTTCAAAAATTTTTAAAGAAACCATTTGAGTATGTGATACAGAGGGACCAAGATAATACATTGACAAAATTATAAAATTTCTTCTGGTTTCATCTTCCAGGAAGATAATGAAAAAAAGACTTTGAATTCTATCTGGTGACATTTCTCTATGTCTTACTGCATTTCATCTATCTATTTAATTGTATCCCACCTTTATTATTTTTACAAATAACTAAGGCTTTGATATTTTATTTTGTAGTATGTCATTTGTTTTAATTCTGTGTCATGCCGAATTTCATGTTGAATGGGTAAGTATATCATTTCTTTGAAAAAAATAACTCAATACTTGAGAAGTAATTGAAATGCAGTGAGACATCATCCATTTGTGCCTTTTTTATTATTTGCTAATAATAATACTCAGCTAAAGTAACTAAAGAAATTCCTTCCTATAGAAATGCATACTTATTCTTAGTGAGCTCATTGATAAGCAAAAATTGTAGAATTTCTATGCTAAAAGAAGCAGTTAAAATATTCTCTTCGGTAGAATAATGCTGAATAAGAATTATGAGACCTGAAGTACACCAGAGACAATCTGGAGAAGACCAGATTAAAACTGACTATAGAATTAAATAAATGAACAAATGAATGAGTAAATAAATGCAAAAATGAAATATATAATTCAGAGCATTGAAATTTTATGGAAATAATTTTAATGAAAGATCTAGTAGATAATGGGTTATTGAAAAGGAAATACTTCTTAGAATACATATACATATAAAAATATCTTTAGCATCTGCAGTCGATTATTTTCTCACTGATCTTAACAAACTTGTAAAATGAAGTATTATTATGTTATACTTGGGAACTGATGCTGGAGTCACTTTATAATCTACGGGGAATAACAAAGTTTGCTCACTTTCTAGCATACTATGAACATGGTACTCCCCTAGCCTACTATGAATTGCAGCAGGCAAAAAAACTAATACAATCCTTGCTTGTATAATCAGAATCATAGAATCAACATCACATGAAGAATTAGTACCACTTTACAAAGTCTTAGTAAGACCACACCTGAAACATTGCATCCAGTTTTGGTCACCACACTACAAAAAAGATGCTGAGACTTTGGAAAAAGTGCAGAGAAGAGCAGCTAGGGTGATTAAAGTCCTGGAGACAAAAACATATGAAGAACTATTGCAGAAACTGAGTATGGCTAGTCTAGAAAAAAGAAAGATTAGGGATATGATAGCAGTTCTCCAGTATTCGAGGGGCTGCCACAAAGAGGAAGGGCTCAACTTATTTTCCAAAGCATCAGAAGGCAAAACAAGAAACAAGGGATGGAAACTAATCAAGGAGAGAAGCAATTTGGAATTAAGGAGAAACTTCCTAACACTGAGATCAACCAACCAATGGAACAGCTTGCCTTCAGAAGTTGTGGGTGCTTCATTTTAAGAAGAGACTGGACAGCCATTTGTTTTAAATTGTACAGGGTCTCCTGATTGAGCAGAAGATTGGACTAGAAGACCTCCAAGGTCCTTTTCAGCTCTGTTCTGATTGATTGTTTGAATATTGTGTCGTTGATACGTTTTGTCAGCTTTTTCTGTGTTTCCATGTAAAATTATTGGCTTTGTATTTCTGCCTGCTCCACTGAAGCAAACTACTGTATGACACAACGAAACAGGAAAAGTCCAGTAATTTTATTTCACCTGTTTCTGGGTTACTCTTTGAGGACTCACCAGGAAGACGGTTGTTATTCCTTTCTGTCATCTATACCACTGGATATGCTCTTTCTTTCTCAGCCCTTGTTATAGCAACTGGCATCCTCCTTTGGTTCAGGTAAGCCACGTGGCTAAAAATAATGAATTCTAGCATATGAAAATATCTGGTACTTGATGCTTAACTTCAAAAAAAAATGTAATGATGAATAATTAGAAGTGGCATAAAAATTAAACTTCATATGGTAATTGGGAAAATTTCAAAATATGGGATTAAAGAGAAGTGTATAATAAGTGAAATACAGTTTGTCTTGGGTGGATTTGTGGGACAGGAAAAAAGCTGCATTATAAATAAATAAACATTGCTTTTAAATTGGACACAGCTAAATTTGTATGAATATTCTGTTTTATAAATTGACAGTACATTTGTTTTGAACAGAATAACTTTTTTCAATAGAATTTTGTTCTGCTACATCATCTGCTCTTAAATGTGGTTTGTTATAAATTGGTAGAAATAAGGAGAAGGGGTTCCGAAGAAAAGTACTGCTGCTGCAATGATGATAGGTTTAATTTGCTGGATTAAGATTTTCTTTTTGGCATGTTGAAATTTATGTTCTCTTAACTTGATGCTCATAATGAATTTTCATTTTTGCTTATTGGGATCCCAGAACTGAAGTCATGCTCCACTTATTCCTACTGTGTGTATGCAATTCTTTTCTTAAATGCTATATCAGTAATAGTCCTCTCTTACCTTTCAAACATTTGCTGGTAAATAGCATGATTTCTCTTGATGGGAATTGATGCTTCTGTCGCAATCTCCTGTAGAAACGTGCAGTGCACAGTTAAACTAAGAATGTTTTACACAATGGGTTTTTAAATCTTTACCTACGGGACTTAAAACTCAATTTTAAGTCTTTGTTTTTAAACCTTTTTATCTGAATACTATAGAAAATGATATTCCAATAATAGTTTTGTATATTTTTTTAGTATTAGTAGTTTGCTTTCTGTTTCAGAAATGAGAACAACCCACAATTTTATTTTTTAGCTCTATAGTGTAACTACCTACCCTTCAGTTTTGAATAGAGCTCCCTTGGTACCTCACTTTACAGTCATTACAGCCTCCATGTTTTCAAGTGAATTAAGCATCATCATTATATTTACAGGCATCTGCATTGTACCAGGAACTACATTCACTTGAACCTTTTTACTTCATTTATCCTACGTGCTGTGTCCATCTTCATTAAGGACTCCATGCTCACCTGGATGTACAAGACAGCCCCTCGTCAACAGCAGTGGGAGAGTGTAATTTCCTACCAGGTATATAAGGCTAAAGATATTTTCCTAAATAGAAGTATGTGATATATATTGCATATATATATATATTAAAGTGTGCATTTCCTTTTGGGGGAAAGCTTGCTACATATGAGTATAGATGAAAGTATTTTAAATAAAAATCCCTTTCAGTTCCCATGAGGATAACATTCCTTCTTCACTTTAATTTTTTTGAAATTTCAGAAGTCCAAAAACAACTGTAAGTGCTTAGATCTTCCTTAAAATGGTAAAGCTTGATAACATGTCCAAAAACTGTGCTTTTTAATCACTATCCTAACAAATATGATTAGAAATATCCCTGGAAAGGATATCATTTTCCTCACAATAAAAACATTGAAATACCACATAATGCCCTATTCCTGTTCTATGAAAATAAACACACTTCTGTTAGAGAGAGGAACCATGATATAAGATGTAATTGGGAATGTAGTCACTAACATTTTCAGAGGAAATGGCAGCTCTTATTTTTATTCAAAGTTTTATTCTTGAACAATGGCTTACATTCTGAGAATACAGAGAAACAGATAGAAGGTGATTGCACCGCTCTTCCGAAATTTCTTCAGAATATAATGAGGCATACGTGCTGCAGTGTTGAAAAAAAAAGTATATACTTTGGCACAGACAAAGTTTTGCCTTCATTAGTCATCTCTGCATCATTTTCTGGAAGCTTCTGTTGCCACAACTCAGGTTGCTCAACTGAGGCCTCTATCTTGAGTGGCATTTTTTATGGAAGATGAGCATAAGGTAAGCTGCCTCTTGGGTAGAATAAAAATGCCCCCTTGGATATAGATAAAAATATTATAATGCTTCAAGGCAGCTAAGAAATAGTTTAAATAGGCATGCTAAGGGGCTGTACAGTGAAGGAATATTTGCTACTGAATTTGATTATTTTGTAACCTGCTGTTGACAGTCTCCAAAGGTTGCTCTGTTATGAAATCTGTGAGGGCATTGTGGCATTGTGGTTTCATGGGCACATTTTTCCTAGCCTGCATCACCTAAGTATTTACTCAAATCTCTGCCCTCTCAGGAGTCACTCAGCTGCCGCTTGATCTTCGTGATGATGCAATATTGTGTGACTGCAAACTATTACTGGCTACTGGTGGAAGGAATGTACCTGTATACTCTACTAGCCCTCTCTGTATTTTCAGAGCAAAGAATCTTTCGACTTTACCTTTGTGTTGGCTGGGGTAAGTAGGCTATTTCTTGGTTTAGTATTCTAGGGGATGTGAAATAAGGAAATACTGATTTTTATTACAGAGAAACATTGATCTTTGGATCCACTTTGTCTGCTGTTATACTTGTGAAGAGCCTTTCAATCAAAACATGCTCAACTGATAATGCAGAGGCCTTTCTGAATTCTCCAGCACCATCAGTGACAATGATCATTTGCTTTACTTTGAATCCCCATATTTTCCTCTCAACAACAACACTGTGAAGTGAGTTGGGCTGCGAGAGAATGATTGACCCAAAGTCACCCAGCTGGCTTTCATGGTTAAGACAGGACTTGAATTCATTATCTCCCACTTTCTAGCCTGGTGCCTTAAACTACTAGACCAAACTGTCTCTTACATGAACGGTGTATTTACTATCAAAGAGAAAAGATATCTTTCTCCTTCTACCTGAAGTTGGTCCTAGGGTTTACTAGCATAAAACCATGTGTTATTTTTTTTCTTCATTAACCTTCCTTCCTGAGGTCTAATTCTCTATTTGATGGCCCAGAGGGGTGGGGTTTTTTTTTTTGTTATGTTTACTACCATGCTGCCTTATATAATCAGGAAAATCTTTAAGATAATATACAATGTTTCACTGTAAATATACATTGTCTGGTAGCCTGCATTTCATTAATCAAATTATTTTTAAACAGTGATATATGTTGCACACAGGTGCAGAATATAAAAGACAAGCTTCCCAATATATTTTGGACTGTAGAATCATTGTAGATACTTAGTTTTATACAGTCTAGCTTCTATTGTGTTAAATGCCATTGGGGTAAAATTTTTAAATACACCTTGAATGGGTTTGATGGGTCTTTTTCTCTTTCACAGATTTACATTCCTACGTGAATATTCTAAATAAGCACACTGTAAAATTCATTTAAATGATCAGCTGTGTATTATTTATGTGACCCTTCTGAATACACATGATCAGGGGTGGGATTCTACAGGTTCGCACCTATTCACCAGAACCGGTTGTTAACATTCTAAGCTGTTCAGAGAACCTGTTGTTAGAAGAAATTATTGGCCTAATCCTGTAAGGAAGGCAGGAAGGAAACATTCTGGTGTTGCTTACGGAAACTGCCTCTCCATTAACCCTTATTACATTCTTGGCAGGACTAGACTTCCTGTCTCAGGAACGTCTCTGGAGTTTTTTCCCCTTCTTTGCTGGTACTTTGCTTGTGTGGAGTGACCATTCAAAGTTACAATGGCACTGAAAAAAGTGACTTATGACCATTTTTCACACTTACGACTTTTGTAGCATCCCCACAGTCAAGAGAGGCCAGGTGAGGAGATGCGTGCCTCGATGTGAGTGAGATTGAGTTGGCCACACCCAGCCAATAACATGACCACCAAGCCATGTCCACCCAGTCACGTGACCACCAAGCCACTTAAGCCACACCCACAGAACTGGTTGTTAAAAATTTGAATGCCATCCCTGCACATGATGTATGGAGGATGAATATACATATTATGTTCTGTCACAACCAATATTCAATGAAGTATTCATAAGAAAATATACTGGGCTGTTCTAGTAAAGTTACATAGATTTCATAACAACCTACTAACTATAAATCATTTAAAGTTATAGAAAGCAAAGGCTTGCAAAATGGTGTGCCCTATACAAAAATTATTGGATAGATTTCTAAGCAAGTTGAAATCGAAGGTTTTATTTATTTTTATTTATATTTATTTATTTATTTGATTTGTCAATTGCTTACAAAATAATAGATATAAGTGTTAGGGATACACCTTAGCAGAATCTGCACGGCAGTCAGGCAGGCAGGCAAAATATGTGAGATAAACGTTTTTGTAGTTTACACTCAGTAAAACAGATACACAGTGCTAGTTAAATAGTTTATTCCAGCAAGAGTTTTAGCATAGTCAAAACAGTCCATATATCATTCACTAATTCAGTCCGTCCGGGGATTATTCAGTTGCAAATTCCAGTGTCGAAAAAGAGGTCAGTAAACTTACAAATATCAGTCCAGTAATATATCTCCTCACAGTAGAGATATGAAGAAGTCACACCTCCTTTCTTCCTCCAGCGTTCAGCAACTCAGCAGTAGGGAAACACGCAGTTAACAAACCATCAATCCATCAAACCAGTCAATCGTCAGCGAATCATCAGGTTCTCTTGCTCCCTCTTATGGCGGTTTCACACCGCACCCCAAATTACATGCTTTGCAGTTTAAAGTGACACACACTTAAACTTACTATCATAGTTTATATATATTATTTTACCCAAACTATGTTAGGTAACCTTGTTATTCCTAACAATAAGTATATACATAGTTATGAATACATAAAATGGGTACATATAAGAAAAATAAAAGAAACAATAGGAAGGGACGGTAGGCACATTTATTTATTGTTTTATTGTTTTATTTGCTTAGTAGAAAAGCAACTCCTTTACAAAAACCATAAAAGGCTGACCTAAAATATTTCTGATTACAAATCATATTTACAATAGCAATACTTGAGTTCAGTGATTGTCATCCAAGATGCTAACTGTACATTCTGAACAGAAGGTGTCTAGTGCCTGTTATGAGCTGAAAACAGAACACTAAAAATGAAGCAAAGGAGGTTGTGTAATTTGTTTAGAACAAAGAACCCAAAATAAACTTCATATACAAGTTGTTCTAATCATGCACAATTATCCTGACCTTTATAGACCTTTGGGGACCTGAATGTACTATAGTTATCATCTATTTTCTTTATTAAGGTGATACTATTGTAAGACATACGTTTTTTAAATCCCATTTTATAGCCATAAATGAGGATAAGGGGTAAACTAGTTAAACAAAAATAGAGTTTGTTCCTTCCTCTTGTTTATGTAATCATTCAGTCTAACTTCTGATTTCTGTAAGAAAATATATAAAGTGAGATTTCATGTCATCTAACTATCTTAATTGCCAAAGACCACCAATGTGCCATTTTGCAGCAAATTCTAGGCCCTAAAGAGCGGAAATCACTAAATGTTATTTGAACACTTTACTGGCATTCCATTTTTTTTTATTTTCCTTTTTTTCGTTTAGAAAATCATGCTCATTTTATACTCCATCCGTAAGTGATTAATTTCTCCAGGATTAGAAGCATAATCTTTTTGTAGTAAAGGAAATAAAAGCAAACTGCTATGGGTAATTCTTCTTGACTTGGACTGATTATTTAATAACCATTTATAGTTATGACAGCATCTGAAAGAGTGCTTTACAGCTGATCACAGCTTGCCCTCAGAAGTTGTGGGAGCGTCATCTCTTCAGACTTTCAAGAAGAGATTGGACTGCCATTTGTCAGAAATGGTGTAGGGTCTCCTGCTTGGGCAGGGGTTGGACTAGATGACCAACAAGGTCTCTTCCAACCCTGATTATCTGCTATCTGATCCACAGGTATGGTCAAAACAATTCAAGCAGTTCCTGTGATGATGCTGACTAAGCACTTCCAGCCATTGTAAAATGTCACGCACACTTCCACGGTCATGTAATCACATTTTGGGTGCTTGGCAACCTGTTCACACTTACGACTAGTTGCCAATCACCCTATTATAAATAGATAATATTTTCAAAAACTTATTTCTGTTAATACTATATGGCACCCTGAATTTTTGTATATTATTTAATTTACTTCATGTTAAAGGAAACATTATGTGTAATTCTGCTGTGAAAGTATTGGTAAGCTTCTACTTTTATAATGTAAAATCCTAGCTTTGATTTCATAAATAAGATGTACAAAATTTTATTTCTCTGCAAAACAATCTTGGAGGCTTCTAAGACACATCCACACACAGCAACTGTACAGATAAATTTAACAAAGCACTGTTCCCAGTGCTCTCCTACTGGTGCTGAGTGTTTAGTAATATGAAATATCAAGGCAATGTGATGAAAGATAAATCTTAAAGCCCAAACAGACAGTCACATAATTTAATTTTGGATTCAAGGTGCATTTGGAATAGTTCCCTGCAAGGAGTGGAAAGGAAAACTCGGAGGACTTTCTCTTTTTGTGTTGGTAAAAACTTGCTAATGACACATTTCAAATAAAACATACTTTGTTTGAAAACCAATTATAGATTTCATTCCTTAAAACATATTTGAAGAGATTCTTAGCTAATATGAATATGAAATTCAGAAAAATAAAAATTGTGGAGGAACTCTGTTGCATAGAATACAAAATAATAGTTATAATAGGAAAAGGAATGAAGAGAGAAATTGAAAATAAGTGATTAATGTAATCACTTTAATGTAGTCTATACTTATGGGTATATATTTTGTATTCACCAACCATTAATTAAAACAAAATTTTGCTTTTAAAACAAAATTTGAACAGCTTTTTATTCTATTGTTATTCATGTTTTCATAGAGTAACAAAATCAAGAAAGAAACAACTTTTGGAACTGTTCTACAACTATTTATGAATAATTGGAAAGTCTCATTTGCTTAATTAATGCTGATTGTCTACAAATAGACAATATAGCTCTTCTCATTTTGGGAATTTTCCATTGCTCCTTGATTTTCATTTCACCAAGGTTTTCTTTGACCTTGAGTAATTTGTTCTAATGTTAGTAGCCTGTGTAGTTCCTTTTTCTTGGAGACATTAATGTGGCACATTTTTACACCATTCTGTATTTCATATTAAATTGTTATGTCTTCTTTTCTTTTACTTAATTTAAAACTTTACATAGTGATAATATGTTCTTAGACTCCATACCCCCAGCCTATTTTTATATGATTAGTAAGTATTAATTATCTTATAGCAATTATGCTTTTGTTATGCAATTCTGGAACCTCTCAACTGATAATATCTCACATCATCAGAACTCAATTGTTGGTCCATGTTTTGCCAGTATTATAGTTACCTTCAAAAAGGGAAATTGATTCTGACCTAGTCAAATGCAGATTACAGTTCAGTATTTAGGACCATAAAAGTCTACATTGGGAACAAAACTTTCATCTACAAAGAGTTCCCAAAGGATCTCT